GAGTTTTGACACCTATAATTAATTAAGTATGATTACTATTACATTAATATAATAATAATAATTTTATATAATTATTATATATAATAAATTTAATTAGCTTATCTTACCATGATTTACAGTATAGTCATTTAAACTGACAAGGACAGCATTTAATATATCGACACAATATATTGAGACGCACCACATTATGGCACATACTGTCCATACAATTATATTGTGAGCTAAATAAAATAGGTTAACCAGTGCTTTAAAAGACTCAATATGGCTATATTTATTATATAGCACATGGAGCGTAAATAATGACAACAATACAAGATGCACAAACCACAAGGTAATTATAAAACAAATTGAACTTGGCAGTTTATAACGAACATATTTACCGAGTTGTTTTACAAATATATGCATCAAATGAAAGCCATGACAGTTTAAAAATATTAACAAGTAGATTTTAGCAATATTTTTAATACTGAACAATGCCAAAAAGACCCATGATAAAATACCGAATTTGATACTCATTTCATTTTTAAACTGCTCTCGTTTTGTAATAAAATATATTATTGTACCAATGTCAAAAATAAATACCATCGCTGTAAATGTGTAGCCATAATACCTAGCGCATTTGTTTTGATATAGTTTATTTTGGCCGTTAATTGTTAAGCCACCAAATGAAATGCCAATAAACCGATGAAACCATATCAGTACAATGCACAACATTTTAAAACATCTGGATAATTGTGCCATGATTTATATTTTCAACAATATTGCAAAAATACAATGTTTTAATAGAAAACTAGTAAACTATAAGACTAACGAAGTACCCTTTCAATTGTATTGAGATATTTTGTTTATTTTGTAACCATTAATAATATAAAATAATAATACAAATTATTAGTATTAACTGTTAAGTGCATAAATTGCTTTTATAAACTAAAGTGTTTTTTTTGTGTATTTAGTAACCAATTTTCATAAATAAATATTATTATAAGATATTTATTACATTATATATACATAATATATTTTAGTGTTATCATTATAAAAGTTAATGAGATGTAATATTATTTTATTTTATTATTTGAAAAGTTTTTATTAAGTAAATTGAACACAGAATATAATTATTAATTAAAAGATAAGATAATTATCAAATTTTAATTTTTTACATTTTAATTATGCAAGACATAGACTACTAATGCTACAAATCAAAAACAGAATGTGTTATTATTTTGTAATTGGAAATAATATATAAATAAAATGTTTACAAAATTTTGTGTATGAAATTATTTTCATGTTGTATTTTGTTAAAGATTGTAACAGTTTTTAAATTAGTTTATTTTATTATATTCATTATTAAACGTTAATAATATTGGAGTAGCGGCCCTAAACCCAATATTTAATATTTTGATAATCTTGATAAAAAATTATACTTTTACTAGACATTAAACAAAATTTATATTAATTTTAATCATTGCAATAGATCCAAGTGCGAAAAATTAGAACAGATATTGTAAACGTATATTAGTTATTAAACTCACACACATTGTGTTCTTTAACTAATAACATAAGTTTAACTAATTGTATTTTAAATAGTGGTAGAGTTAATAATTTATTTATTTGATACATTAAATTAAAAATGAAGTAACATAATATGAAAAACTACGAATTTAAAAATAAAAACAAATGTATTTAAAAATTTATTTATTTGTTTGCAACAATAATACGGTATAGTTGAGCATAAATGTAAATATCTGTAAATATAAATAAAATTAATTAAAAAACATTTAATCAATTAAAACTCATATAATTATTTACAGCAATGAGTGTCCGTTTATTAATGGGTGCGAACCCTGCGATCGTAAACCCAATCGTACGCCTGTTTTGCATAACAGTTGCAAACGTAAGCCATTCCCTGTACTCCGTGTCCGACATATCCCGAGTATTCATTGCCGCCAATCGTTGCAATATTTGACTGGCCTTTAGCTCAATTGATCCACAGATAAAACACGAGATGATTAGTTCAGTAATGGCGGCACAACTTCTGTATATTATGGCTTTCACCACGTGTTCAAACAGTATATCATTTTTGTAGGCAAACAATGTGTACACGTTTAGCATAATTTCCAGCAATGATAATATGGTTTTAAATCCGTTAAAATATTTTAGCCGTGAATCTAGATTTTCAATCGTATACTGAACCTTAATGCATATTTCTCTGCATTTATTTATTGGTATTTTACCATGATCATTATTTAATTGAATTGCTGTGTCAGAACCTATAACAAAAATTGTTACCAATTTGAATAGCAAAATCATAAATTTAAATTATATAATTAAATTAATATTTTTACCTCGGTATAATATTAAATTATCAGGTATACTTTTATATATATCATTTAAAATAATGCAGCAATATGCTGATATACACCACATAATTGCGCTTAATGTCCAAATACTTAAATGTCCAATTAAATAAAATACAACTGATAATGATTTGAAAAAATCAACACGAGTATATTTATTATATACTAAATGTACCATAAACAAAATAAACAATACAAGATGTAAAATACATAAGCAAATAATAAAGCAGATTGATCGTGGTAGCACATTACGCACATATTTACCAAGATTCTTTACAAAAATGTGTATTAAATAGAACCCTTTAGCATTTATAAATATAAGTAGGTAGAATTTTAAAAGATTTTTCAAGGTAAGCCAAATCAAAAACAACCATGATATTGATTTGTTAGTAATGCTAAAATTGTGTTCGTAGTCGTCGTTGTAAATTATTAAATAAATTGTTGTGCCAATATCAAAAACAAACATGGTAAAGGCCATCGCATAGCCGTAATACCTAGCGTATTTAATTTGATATAACTTATTATTAGCATTTATAGCTAACCCTCCAAATGTACTGCCAATAATTCTATGAAACCATAGCAATATATAAACAATTATTTTAAAATAATTTTTTGAAAACGGCATGATGATATTAAATTTTTGTAATAATTTAAAAATTTCACAAAAGTTTTATTATCAAAATTTTAATATAAACTATAATCACTCATTTATTAGTATATTAATGTAGAATACTGTGAGAGAAAGTGAATGTTTGGTTACTAAACATCAAGTGGTTAAACAAATATTTTTATTTAATTAATTTTTTATGGAAACAATAATAATAATAATAATAATATCGTATACATTATCTTTAGGTACACTATAAACCAATTATTGTGTTTATTTAATTTAGTTTTGAAAATATAATTGAACATTACATTATATTGAATTAGTAGTACATCTGTCAACTTAATAGCTCAATAAAATAAATAGACGCTATATTTATTTGAGATATTAATTAATACAAAAATATATAAATTATCTCAAATAAATCTTCAGTATTGATTTTTACAGTATTATGAGAAATATAAATTTTTAATAAGCATAATTAAAATTATATTAATATTGTAGATAACTAATTAAGTTATTTATTTGTTTGCAGCAATAATACGCTGTAGTTTAACATGAATGTGAATATCTGTTAAAATAAAAATAATTGAATTTTTAAAATTTAAAACTCAAGTAAATAATTACAGCAATGAGTGTCCGTTTATTAATGGGTGCGAAACCTGTGATCGTAAACCCAATCGTACGCCTGTTTTGCATAACAGTCGTAAACGTAAGCCATTCTCTGTACTCCGTGTCCGACATATCCCTCGTATTCATTGCCGCCAATCGTTGCAATATTTGACTGGCCTTTAGCTCAACTGATCCACAAATGAAACACGAGATGATTAGCTCAATAATAGCGGCACCGGTACGAAAGGTCAGCACAAAAATAGCTGATTTTAGATGTATATCGTGTTTAGATGTAAACAACGTATATGTATTTAGCATAATCTCCACCAACGATAGCACAGTTTTGAACATGGTAAAATATTTTAAACGGCGATCCAAATTTTCAATTGTTTTTGCCACTTTTACGCAAATAGATTTACATTTATGTAATGATATTTTACCAATATTATCATTAAGTTGAACGATGAATGTTTGCTCTAGAACAATTATATTAATATAAATTATAAATTAATAAATACAGTTTTTAATTACTATTTTACCTTGATAATCGAGCAAACTTTTATAAACATCATTTAATATATCTACACAATAAATTGATACGGACCACATCATTGCGCATACTGTCCATACAATTATATTATGAGACAGGTAAAATATGTTGGCCAACGATTTTATAAATAAAACTCGGTTAAATATGTAACGACTATCCAACAGGTGAATTGTGAATATTATCAGCATGATCAAGTGAATAAACCATGTAATAATAATCAGTAATATCGACCAAGTTAACTGTTCACGCACATATTTACCAATATGCTTTGTAAAAGTATGTATCAAATGAAAGCAACCAGAATTTAAATATAGTAGCAAATATAATTTTGATATATTTTTAAATGTGAACAAAAGTAGATACAACCAGGGCAGTGTCCAATTTTCAATATTCATCATTATTTTAAATTTGTGCTTGTTCACAATTAAATAAAGCGTGGTTAGCGCGTCAAAGAAAAATATTACAATTGCCACTGTATATCCGTAATACCTAGCGTATTTAATTTGATAAATCTTATTATTTGCATTAATTGCTAATCCGCCAAATGAAATGCCGATTATTCTGTGAAACCACAATAATATAAAACATATTATTTTGAACAGTTTATTTAAATCAAACATAATTCAAAAATAAAATTTTCAATTCATGTAGTTAATATTAATATTGGGTTATAGAATACGGTTTTGTAAGTATAACATTGCACTTAACTCTTGATTCGTGGATATATTATTTTATTATAAACCACTTTATTAAAGCATTTATTAAAGCATTCATTTATTATTGAGTGTTTTATTAATATATAAGTGCTTATAAAATATTTGCAAATGATATGCTTTATGCAAACTTTGTATATAATATAATGGCTAAAAAGGGTACTTCACATCAAAACAGTTATGATCATTAGGGAGGTCTTTTATAATTTATCTATTTAATTAAATTAGTAGTTTAAATATATTTTGTTTAATTGTTTATTTTACATCAATTATTATAATGCATTTATTTTTAGTATAAATACTACAAACTGTAACAAATGGTATTTTTATCATTTATATTTATTAATATAAGTTGTCATTATATTAAATGGGTTTCAATAATAACAAAGTTATTATTTATTTATTTGTTTGCAATAGAATAACAGTGTAATTGAGCATAAAGGTAATTATCTGTAAAACAATAATTATAATAAATATTAATTTAAATATATGCAACATTTTAATTATTATTTACCGAAATAAATGTGCGTTTATCAAACGCTGCAAAACCTCCAATACTAAACCCAACGCAGCGCCGATTGCGTACAACTGTCACTAACGTATGCCATTCCCTGTACTCCGTGTCCGACATATGGCACGTCTTTTTCGCACATAAAATATCTGATAATTTTGCACACTTTTGAGCCACTAATCCGCATATGAAACACGAGACACATATCTCCACAATACCCGAAACGGCGCGAAATAACATAATTTTGACCATTGGTCGCATATGATTGGCGAGATTGACCATGCACATCGCGTAGATGTTTAACATGATACTAAATATTGCCAATGCCATCTTAATTGAGTTAATGTATTTTAATTGTGAGTCGTAATCAATAATTGTATTTTGAATTCGTAAGTATAAAGATTTAATATTTATAGAGGTTTTGGATGTGAGCGCAATATCTGGATCTAAAGTGAATTAATTATTACATTTAAGCATAAATTATAATTTGATTTTATAAATATAATTACCATGTTTAAATTGCGAAATTATTTCGCCGATAATATCGTTGCAATATATTGAAATTATCCAGGTAGATGCCGAAGTCACCCAACTCAATAAAAAATACGTGTGATAACTTAACATGGTCACGATTTTGTTAATCATCATAGGATGATCAAATGGGTTTTTATTTTCAAATGATAAATAAATAAATATGATCATATGTAATAAGTATAACACTATGACAAATATAATACGTTTGCTTAGTAGCCTCTGAGTATAAATACCGAGTTGTTTTATATAACTAAATATGATTTTAAAACCATTATGGTTGATATAACAGAAAATATATAATTTTAATAAACTTTCCAATTGATACAATATTAAAAACATTAGTGGCACAATTTGATTATCATTAAGGGTAATTAAACGAAAAAATCCTTTTAAATCACTATACATGTAGACACATGATAATGTATCGTAGATAGTCATAAGAAAAATAATTAGATAACCATAATATTTTATTATTGTATTTTGGGTAACATGGCCATTTTTGCATATGACAACACCACCAAATGTAATGCCCATTAAGCGGTGAAAATTTAATAAAATTAAAAATATAATAAAATATTTGTTCATTGTTATTTATTTAAATGCACGTTTTAATATTAATGTTGTAAAATAATTTCAAGTAATAATATTTAATACTTTAACAGAATATTTATAAGTGAATACTTCAACAAATATTTGTCCACTTTTGAATTATAATAGTTATATTATTAGCATTTGATATAATGCAAACAATTCTGCAACATGCTCAATATCTTTATATTTGTTTTACTAACAAAGCACTAATAAGTGTCAATTTGCATTTGATTAAGTGTTTTGATAAAGTTATGAATTGCCACACTTAAACAATAATGGCAAGTTAATTAAATAAAGTATTAAAAGTTGTAATAAATATTTACGCAAATTTAATGTTGAAGTCAATTTCGTTTTTTATTTTATTAACATTTGATTAACAATTCGCAAAATATAGTGCACATTAGTACTAATTAATTTAATAACAATTGCATGACTAATTTTTGCACTCGTTAAGAAAAGCCCAACATTTGTTAAATGTATTATAGTGCTAATATATTAATTAATTAATTAAAAGTTTATGACAGTTTTCTTGACCAAAAGTTAATTAAAATACAAAGTAATTAAATGTTATTTATTAGTCTGAAGTAATATTACTGAATAGTTGAGCATAAATGTGAATAGCTATAAAAGACATATTAATTAATTAAAATTAATTAATTAAAATTAAATATTACAAATATAATAAAATAAAACTTTTATTTTTTACCCCGATTAAAGTGCGTTTATTAAACGGTGCAAAACCGCCGATCGTAAACCCAAACGCACGGTCGGACTGTTGGACAACAGCCGTAAACGTACGCCACTCGCGATACTCGGCATCCGTGAGGGCCCGGGTGTTAATCGAGTGCAGCGCTTGACATAGTTTAGCCCTATTTCGCTCAACTGACCCGCATATAAAACATGATACAATGATTTGAATAATTTCAGCAGCCGTGCGAAACGCTGTCATTTTAACCATGATCTTAAAGTGTGGTGTCCACTTCCACATAAATAATACGTAGATATTTAACATCACTTCAAATAAATTAAATATTGTTTTGAAGGCATTAATGTGTTTAAATTTAATATCCAATTCCCTAATTGTTGAGTGTATTTTCACGTAGATCATTTTACTGTTGCATAATGTTTCAATTAAATTCATAGAATGTGATTTTGAACTGGTTAATTCTAAAATAAATAAAAATTATCAAATTTAATTACAAAGTGTACTTTTATAAATAAAGTTTTCGTTATTTACTTTATATATAACTCACCATTAACAATTGTAATTTTTCTGATTTGACTAGTTATTTGATCCATGATACCTGTGCAATATATGGTCACAGACCACATGGTTAACCCTACGGTCCATATCATTATATTGTATAGCAGAAAGAGTAACATTGTAATACTCTTCATAATTATATTTTCATCTTGGTCTTTAGATAGGAATTCCACGTTTAGAACCTCGTATATTATCAAATGTAATGCCCATAAAATCAATAGTATGACAATTTTACGAGGTAAATAATTTTCGACATGATTACCAAGATGTTTGTTAAAAGTTTGTATAATATCGTAGCCATAAATATTAAAATAAAACATTATATAAAATTTTAAAACATTTTGCAATGCGAATATGGCCAAAAATATAACAGGCAAGATTCCGCTGTCAAAGTTTAGACTATTCTTAAATTCATCAAGGTGTGTGAATAGATAATATACCGACATTAAATCAAAAATCATTACCAGGGTAAGAACTAAACACCCATAATAGACGGTGAATCTAACTTGCCGTAATTGTCCACTTGGTGAAATTGCTAGTCCGCCAAATGAAATACCAATAATGCGGTGAAACCATAACAATATTAAACAAATACGCTTAAAATGTCTACTATTTGAAAGTGGCATGTTGTCAATAGTTAACATTTTTAATTCACTAAATCAATCAGAATTTTTGTTATACAGATTTACATTAAGTAAAGTTAACGTTTTAAAAGTATAGTTTTTTTTAAAAATATAACAACTAAATATATAGTAAATATTTTAATAATTACCCATAAACATATTTGAGTAAATATATAGTCAGGCTAATGAAGCACATAAAATACAGCATCATATATTCAATTAATTTCATTAATGGCCTTAAGTGTTATTTGCGATATAGCCTATTATTATACTGTTATCATGCAACCTGTTGGCCTAAGAATGTAAATATTTGTAATAGATAATAGTTATTATAGTATATAAATATTTACACAAATTAAATATTTAGTATTAGAGTGACCAACCAAATTAATATTAATTACATGTGTAATTTATTAAATATTATCTATTCATCTGCAGAATAAATAGTTAAAGCTATTTTGCATAAAAATTTACATAATCACACAATAATTATTTTATTAAATACGGAGCTTGTTGTTTTCGTCCAATTTCTACTAAAAACAAAACAATGTTATTATATAAATGTCTTAATAATAAGTTTATGACAGTTTTCCTGACCAAGATTTAATTAAAATACAAAGCCGCTAAACGCTATTTATTAGTTTGAAGTAAAATCACTGAATAGTTGAGCATAAATGTGAATAACTATATAAAACAGATGAATTTATTAAAATTAATCAGTATAAATATAACACAATTAAACCTAATTACTTACCCCGATTAAAGTGCGTTTATTAAACGGTGCAAAACCGCCGATCGTAAAACCAAACGTACGGCCGGATTGTTGGGCAACAGCCGTAAACGTACGCCACTCGCGATACTCGGCATCCGTGAGGACCCGGGTGTTGATAGAGTGCAGGGCTTGACATAGTTTAGCCGCTTTACTCTTAATCGATCCGCATATCAAACACGATATACTCAGTTGAATAATTGTGGCCACTGTTTGAAATGTAATTGCTTTGATCATGATCCTAATTTCTGGCTCCGAAGACCACATAAATAAGGTGTATATATTTAGCATCACTTCGAAAAATGTCAACATGGTTTTAAACGCGTTTATGTATTTTAGTTTAGCATCTAATCTCCTCATGGTAGAATGTATCTGTACATAGATCATTTTCTCGCCTTGTAATGTTTCAATTAAATTCATTGATTTGACTACAAAATTGTAAAAAAATTAATTAAATACTGCAATTTATAAGACATTATTTTTTATTATACCTTTATTTGAAATTGTACTATTGTTAATTTTATTTGTTATCTTGTCCATAATATTTGTACAATATATGGTCACGGACCACATAATTACTCCAACAGTCCATATTAAGATATTGTAATGTAAATAGAGTACATTTGATATGCCCTTGATAATATAATTATCATCTCTCTCATACTGCAACATCTCCAAATTTATAATCTCGATAAATACCATATGTAACGTCCATAGAATTATTATTAAAATAATTTTGCCAGATAAAACATTTGTAACATATTCGCCGAGGTGATTAATAAATAATTTTACAATACCATAACCATTAACATTTAAATACAACATTACATAATATTTACATGTGTGTTGTAAAGCAAATACTACCAAATAAATATACCGTAATGTATTGCCGTTAAAACTTACGCTATCCATAAACTCTTCGATGTGGTTAAATAAATAATATATTGTCATAGAATCAAACATGATCATTAGGGAGGCCAATATAAATCCATAGTACATGGTTGACTTAATTTGTCGCATGTGTCCATTCGGTGAAATTGCTAAACCGCCAAATGATATGCCAATAATGCGGTGAAACCATAACAATATTAAACAAATACGTTTGAAATGCTTGTTATTTGAATGCATTGTATTTCTTGGTGTTTAACTATTTTGACTCACTTGTATATTCTGTATTATCATATGCTTTATATTTATTAATAACAGAATATTCCTAATTTAATATACAAGTAATAAAATTTTGCTGTGAGTTTGTTAAGTATTAAGTAAACAATTGGCCTAAAAATACAAATATTGATAATAATAATTTGAATAAACACAATTTATTAAACTATTAGCCTAAATATAATAAAAATAACGTTAGTTTAAATGGGGCTAATTCTGCTTTCATTGTACCAGCACAGTTTAACAATCATATATGATCTGACAGAAATATCTAAATCTTTAAATAGATTTAATTTTTGAAGTTTTAAAAAAATTATTATACAACGTTGTACAACACAGTTCATAATACACTCTGTAAACTAGCCTTTGGTTATAAATTTAGTATTTATTAATATAATTCATTATTACACAAATAAGGAGTTTAATTATATAATACGATAAAAATACCAATGATTTTTATTTATTTGTCTGCATCAAAATGACCGTATAGTTAAGCATAAATGTAATAACCTGTAAGATAATTATTATTATAATTATTAATTAACCACAAGTAATATTTAAAACATTTTTACCGTAATAAGTGTGCGTTTATTAAACGCTGCAAAACCTCCAATTGTAAAACCAAAGGTACGCCGATTGCGTATGACTGTCATCAATGTCTGCCATTCCCTGTACTCCGTGTCCGACATATGGCACGTCTTTTTTGCACATAAAACGTCCGATAATTTTGCACACTTTTGCTCTAATGATCCGCATATGAAACACGAGATACATATCTCCACAATACCGGAAACGGTGCGAAAAATTATCAATTTCATCATGGGCCGCATTTGATCAGCCAATTTGACCATGCATAGTGTGTAGATGTTTAACATAATTGCAAATATTGTCAATACAGTTTTGATCGTGTTTATATATTCAAACTGCTTATCGAGTTCAACAATTGTATTGCAAATCCTCATATATAATGATTTGATATTTATGGACGTCATTGATGTTAATGTTATATATGGGTCTTTAAAAAATTGTATCAATGAATTATGAGCAATTTAAAGTTAAAATTTACTTACCATGTTTTGTTTGATTTATCATTTCATTTAAGATATCAACGCAATAAATTGATATTATCCACATAATTACCGATGGGACCCAACATATAATAAATAGTATGTGGTAATTTATAAGAGTTAGTAATCTGTTAATAACTAAATGATGATCAAGAGTATTTTCATTTTCAAATGTTAAATAGATAAACATAATAGTGTGGAAAATATATAACAATGTGATAGATATAATAGTTTTATTAACTAATCTTTGTGTATAAATTCCTAATTTCTTTATATAACTAGATATAATATAAAATCCATTATGATTAATAAAGTAGAAAATATAAAATTTTAATATATATTCTATTTGAAATAGTATCAAGTACAAAATGGGCACTATTTGTGTTCTATCAGTAGTAATTAATTGGTAAAATCCCTGCACATTATTATACACATGTATCATTGAAAATATATCGTAGATGACCATAATTAAAATTATTAAATAACCATAGTATTTTATATAAATATTTTGTTTAACATGGCCATTTGTTCCAATACTAGTTCCACCAAAAGTAATGCCAATTAAACGGTGAAACCATAACAAAATGAAAAATATTAAATAATATTTGTTCATTCTCAGTTTTTAATACAATACACATTTAACAAAAAATCAACCATGTTAAATAACAATATTGAATTGTGAACAATAAATACTATTATTATAAATATAAATATTTTAATAATTTGAATAAAGTTATATTAATATTCTGCAATTATGCCCTAATATTATACTTAATAAACTTTATCTTTTTCAATTAAATACCGTTTTATTTGTTTTATAGAAGTCACTTAAACCCCTCAAAGTGAAGTATTTTGTTAAGTGTTATGATAAAATAATGCGGTATTGTACTTACATTTTGATGGCAATATTAATTAAATATTTAATAGAGTTAGAATAATAATATAAATATTATTATAACAAATATGTTTATCTTAAACATTTTATTTGTTAATTTAATACTGTAGACAATATTTGCATTATATAAAAAACATTTGAATATGATAATTCATTATTTTATTAATTATAACAGACAGTTATTAAATTATTAAGTAAACTGACAAATATTAAATTATTAAATTAAAATTATTGTTTAGTTGTTTGAAGTAAAATGACCGAATAATTTAGCATGAATGTAAATATCTGCAAAAATAAATATAAATTAAATATAAATATTAGAAATAAGTTAGATTATAAAATCCATCTAAATTTACACTTAAAATAAACATTTTCAGTGCATTACAACTCTTGTTATGAGAAAATGCTATATAACAGCACAGAATATGTATTGCAGTGAAACACTATTACTTATAATTTACATGTAAAAATTTTTCAAATACATGTAAATTATTAATAAATAAAATGTATAAAAATTTGTTTAGTAAAACATAATTACTTACCGCGATTAAAGTGCGTTTATTAAACGGCGCGAATCCGCCGATCGTAAAGCCAAACGAACGGCCAGACTGTTGGACAACAGTTGTAAACGTACGCCACTCGCGATACTCAGCATCCGTGAGGGCCCGGGTGTTAATAGACTGCAGGGCTTGACATAGTTTAGTCGCTTTGTGTTCAACTGATCCACAGATAAGACACGATATGATTATTTGAATGATTTCCGCAGCCGTGCGAAAGGCTGTCTGTTTAACCATGATTTTAAATGTTGGCGTCCACTCCCACATAAACAGCACGTAGATATTTAACATTACCTCGAACAAGTTGAATATTGTTTTAAATGCATTTATGTGCTTAAGTTTAATATCCAATTCCCTAATTGTTGTGTGTATTTTCACATAGATTACTTTGTTGTTGCATAAGGTTTCTATGAAGTTGTTTGCATTTAAATTGTTTGTGCCTTAATTAAATAAAAATTATGTACAAATACAAATTAAATTATATATACTTTATATTGTTATTTTTATAACTCACCCATTTTGATAATTGTGAGATTGTTAATTTGACTTGTAATTCGATCCATGATACCTGTGCAATATATGGTTACAGACCACATGATTACCCCGATTGTCCAGATCATTACATTGTATAATAGGCAAAGTAGTATTGAAATACTTTTCAAAATAATATTCTCTTCTTGATCTTTATACAGATAGTCCACATTTAATATCTCGCTAATTATAATATGTAGAGCCCATAAGATTAATATTGCGACAATTTTACCAGATAAATAATAATCGATAAGATTACCAAGATGTTTAGTAAAAGTTTGTATAATATTGTAGCCATAAATATTTAAATAAAACATTATATAAAATTTTAAAGCACATTGTAATGCATATATGGTAAAAAATATAACCGGTAATATTTCGCTGTCAAACTGAATACTCTGCTTAAATTTATCAATGTGTGTGAATAGATAGTATACCGACATTAACTCAAAAATTATTATTAGGGAACATACTATAAATCCGTAGTACATGGTGAGCTTAATTTGTCGTAACTGTCCATTCGGTGAAATTACTAGACCGCCAAACGAGATGCCAATAATGCGGTGAAACCACAACAATATTAAACAAATACGCTTAAAAAGCTTGTTATTAAGAGGCATAGTATGATTAATTGTTAACATTTTATTTAAGTATTATTAATTTTCTTTAGAAGTTATATATTTTCTTCAACTTTTCCAATTTACATTATTTTATTTCAAATATTATTAATAACTTTATATATTTGCACAGTTCCCATATATAAAATTATACTTATACTATTGATGCTAATGCAGTACATTGTATAAAACTAAATTCATTATAACAATTATGTGTTATTGCCAACATCTGGCCTAATAATGTAAATATTTGATGAAGATAATAACATTTTATTGAAAGAAATACATTTAGTTTATTAATAAATTAATTAATTTAGAAAATATAAATTTAAACAGTAAACAAATTACATACTTAATATTAATTACTCTTATAATTTATTAAATATTATTTATTAGTCTGAAGCAAAATTATCGAATAGTTGAGCATAAATGTAAATATCTAAACAATAATCAATTAATTAATCAATAATCTATTAAGTATATTAACATTATTTCTTACCCCAATAAGAGTGCGTTTATTAAACGGTGCAAAACCGCCGATCGTAAACCCAAACGTGCGGCCGGATTGTTGTGCGACAGCCGTAAACGTACGCCACTCGCTATACTCGGCATCCGTGAGGGCCCGGGTGTTGATAGACTGCAGCGCTTTATTTAGTTTACCTGCTTTTTGCTCAACTAAACCGCAAGTTAAGCATGATATAATTATATTCACAATTGCTGCTACTGTACGAAACGTGGTTAATTTGACCATGGTCTTAAATTGTGGTGTCCTTTGCCAGACAAATAAAGTATAGATGTTAAGCATCACTTCGAGAAAGGTCAATATAGTGTGAACAGAGTTTATGTATGCAAGTTTGCCATCCAATTTTATTATGGTCGCGTGTATTTTTATATAGACCATTTTACCTTTATGTAATGTTTCTATAAAACTCAAATTATTTCGCACCATTCTGACATTATTGGCACCTGGTTTGATATTTTAATTAGTGGTAATTTAACTTGCTGCATTTTCTAAATACCTTTATTTAATAATGTAAGCTTGGTTACTTGATCAGTTATCCGGTCCATCATATCAGTACAATATATAGTCACAGACCACATAATTATCCCAACAGTCCATATCATGATATTATAATGCAAATATAATACAGCTGAAATGCCCTTGAGGAT